AACTACTGTTCCTTATTTTAGAAAGGTAGCTCTGGCATCAGTATGAAAGGTGGACAGAACTGAATATTTGGAAGCCAGGAAGCTTGTGAAGAGGTCATTGCAGTAGATCCAAGGGTAAAGGAATGAGAACCTGAACTCACTGAGGTAAAGATGGAAAAGAAGGGATACATGATAGTTAAAAATAAAACAAAACAAAAAAACATTTGGAGGTAGATTTGCCATATTTTGACAATTCTGGGATGTACTTTTTTCACATTATAACTTAAAAAATTTTTTTAATGTCTGTTTATTTTGAGGGAGAAAGAGACAGAGTATGAGTGGGGGAGGGGCAGAGAAAAAGGGAGACACAGAATCCAAAGCAGACTCTGAGCTGTCAGCACAGAGCCCAATGAAGGGCTTGAACTCACGAACCGCGAGATCATGACCTGAGCTGAAGTCAGACGCTTAACCAACTGAGCTTCCCAGACACTCCTTCACATCATAACTTTTTGAAACCTGGCTGTATCTTGCAAGTGATGGCTTGTTACAGTTGTACTTGGCAGCATTTTTCATTCTTTTTTCTTAGTGGTACATAAAATATTGGTGCATCTTAAAATCTCTGGCTTCTTAGACTTGATACATGATACCAGGATTTGGTGAAGGATTGGATGGTGAGGATAAGTGAGTCAGAGATAGCTCTGAGTACTTTAGCCCAAGTAGTGAGGTGATGCTGCCATAACCTAGATAAGGAGTGCAGCAGGAGGAGCAGATGTGTGGAGGAGGCCAAGTTTGGTTTTGAACATGTTATGATTAAGGCATCTGTAAGATCCTTCCATGGAGTTGGCGCGTAGACACACAGAGATAGTCATATTGTTACCTTTTCTTCTTTTCTCTTTTCGGATTGTTATGTGGACCTCTCTGTATTTACATCTTTACATTGTTAAATCTTAATGTCTAAATGAAAAGTATACTGAGTTAAACCACTGTTTTCAGAGGCAGAAGCTCATTGTAACTGAAGGGCTTACCCAAGGTCAAACAGCTCAAATGGCAGAGCTGCACTTGGCCCCAGGTTTCTCTCTCAAAGCCAAAGCTCTGCCACTTACTGAGGTCCAGTTACAGAGGATTCTCAGGAGTTGTCATAGGAAAGATGTTAACATCATGTGATACATGAGATTAAGAGAGAAAATAGAACTATGCCAGATAAGATGGCCCCGGGGGGTGGGGGGGAAACATTAGAGAAAGCAGCTGTACCACCTCCGGTATTTTGATTATAAGCATCTCACCCTCTGATCCTCTTTTCATTGTGACTTCTCTCCAGCATTACTTCAGCCTTACCAAGGCCAATTCATTGGCTCTATGAATCGCTTTTTCACTGTCATCATTACCATTCATACACTCGTGTCCCTTGTTAGCGAGGTCATTTATTGTCATCATTCTCTGGTCTCTCTCTCTTTCTCCTTGGCAAAAATCCAACTCTGAGTAAACTGGACTGCTCATCTACTTCCTGCCTGAAACCGAACAGGTAAAACTTGGTAAGAAAAATACACATCTGTGTTTATTTGGTCTTAGGTTGTATTCAAAACCATAGATCTCAAATAGGAACTCATCAATGTTTGGCAGTCCTGCTACCTGTAAATTACTAGCAAATTTACTTTCTCACTTTTCAGAATAACTGTTTTATCAAGCTGATATCCCTACCCAATTTCTCACTTTGAACTAGTAACCTCACCGCATATTTAATGATGATATATAAGCATTTGTGATAGTTAGACATGATTTCTCTCATTTCCATCAACAGATCTTCCAACGTTTGCATTTGTTCTCACACCCTCAGCCTTCCCTTTCGTTACAACGACAACGACAGATCCTCAGTCCCATAAAAGCCAAAACCTCTGCTTTATGCTTTGGATTTCATTACCTCTTGAGTTCTTAGGGACTTTGCTGCCTATGGCTCTGATCCCTCCTTTTCTTCCTCCATCATTAATATTCCTTCTTTACTGTAACATTCCCATTGGCATTTCTTACCATGGTCTTATTTTTATGCTCACTTCTTTACAGCAAAACATGAAAGAATTGTCTATATTATCTGTCATCACTTCACCTTCCCTGTCTCTCTTTCAGCCTTCAATCAGGTTTCCATACCTATCATTCACTGAAACAGTGCTTGTCAGTAACAGATCGTAGTGACTTCCGTGTAATTAAATCCCATAGTCATTGCTCTGTCCATATCAAGCTCATTTTCTTCTTATTTGACATGCTGGGCTACTGTCTTCCTCTTGAAAAACTTTTCTTGGCTTCTATAAGACTAGTTCCCTTTGCTGGTTGCTCCTTCTTTTCCTTCTTCCTCTGCTTACTGGGATGCCTGTCTCCTGCTACTCTGCCCATGGTGGGGATCTCCTCCAGTCCTGTAGCTTTAATTTTTTATGCCAGTGATTCTCAGACTCTGCTTTGTCTATTTAAAAGTCAGGCATCACAGATTTAATATAGCCAAATGAGAATTCTTAATTTCCACCACTTATGAGACTTCTCCTCCATTTTTCTCACTTTAGTTAATGATAGTACCAACCAGTGAGATGTCCAAAACTACTTTTGTAGATTGGGGAGATATTTAACCTTGGTTGTGGGAGCAATTACATAGAAAATACTAATTGCCTTTATGGGGTGCCTGGGTGGCTCAGTTGGTTGAGCATTGACTCTTGATTTTGTCTTAGGTTCTGATCCCAGGGTTGTGGGATTAAGCCCCACCCACATCAGGCTACACACTGAGTATGGAGTCTGCTTAAAATTCCTTCTCTCTCTCTCACTCTCTCCCCCTCCCTCCCTCCCTCCCCCTCTTCCTCCCTCCCCCTCTTCCTCCCTCCCCCTCTTCCTCCCTCCCCCTCTTCCTTCCTGTATCCCCCCCACACACTCATGTTCTAACTCTCTATAATAGAAAGGAAGGATGGAAATACTGATTTCCTTTAAATGATCTTCTAATGAGGGAAGCCTGTAGCGGGTAGGAGACCATCTTGAATCTTCTTAAATGTGCACAGTTTTGTTTTGACCATTGGGTTTCATCCATTTCAGATGAGTTCATGACTTAAAAAAAAAATTAAATCGCTGCTTTAAAGGCCCAAGGTTATAAGTTTTCTTTCATTATCTGAGTTTCCTAATTTAGAGGTTTATATACTTCTAGGAATATTACAGGAAGCTGGGGGCTGTGGGGGTGGGTGGGGGGGTGGGTGTTGCAGGAAGCTACAGGATAGATAGATATGGGAATATCTTTCTGGTATGTGGTTTGAGAAATTTTTTGTTCTTAAAAGATTTCATGACTTGAAGATGAAATTAAAACACCCAAAGATATAAAATGATCTGGACTTGGACGAATCACTTGACTTTTAGGAGAAAAACAGGACCTGTGCAGGAGGTTCCCACTCGTCTGCCTCTTGAAACTCTGACCAGGAATACTTCCTAGATAAACATTCACTCCTTGCTGTTGGTAGGCACACTTTGGAAGAAGAGTTTGAGAAGCTGTCCTTCATAGTCTCATTCATTCATTCTTTCAGATGAGTCCTGTCAAATCATTTGAACTGTATGAATTACAGTTGGTTTCTCTAGAAGTCTAAATGCATGCTGAATTATCTTCTCCGTTAGTTTTCTTATGTTAGTGTTCATAATCAAGAGAGCATCTAAAATGTTTGGGAAGCCAGACAAAGACCAGAGAGTTCTTTCTTTTTTTTTTTTTTAGGTTTATTTATTTATTTTGAAAGAGAGTGTGTGTGTGAGCAGGGGAGTGTCAGAGAGAAAAGGAGAGAGAGAATCTGAATCCCAAGCAGGCGTCACACTGTCAGCACAAAGCCCAGTATGGGGCTCAAACTCATGAATCATAAGATCATGACCTGAGCCGAAACCAAGAGTCAGACACTTAATCAACTGAGCCACCCAGGCACCCCAAGCAGAAAGTTCTTTTCAGTGAGACTTAAAATGATTACCTGCCTGTCGTGGACTGCTGTTCACCTGTGATTTCTTTGAGGGTAAAGGCCCCTTTCAAATTAATGAATGCTCATAGTATCTTTCTGAGGCGGATGTAGAACAGCACAAGTGTTTCCTCCGCAGAAAGTGTTTTGTGGTGGCTCTGTCTCTTCCTTATCTCTCTACTTCCTCTGCTTTCTCTTGATCTTCTGGTCTCTAGTGCAGAAGGACTCTAAAGTGGTATTATTAATAGAACAGGAAAATACTGAAGATTCTATAAAGCGTTTTGAATCCCATAGTAACATTTCCTTGTAAATCAAGTGAGAGCTGAGCATTTTGGTATTATTTTGGTTTTTATTTTAAAGTTTTTGCTAGTTGGAGAGTCATTATTCCCTCTGGTAAGTTCCCTAACTAATTAATGTTAAATACAGTCTTAATAGCAATTACTTTAACAATTTTTTTAATACCTACTGTGTGTCAGGCTGTCTTCTAGGCATCAGGGATTTAAGCATGAATGACACGAAAGAAGTTCTTGCTCTCATGCAGCTTTCTTTCTAATAGGAGAGATAGACAGTAAATATATAAACAAACTAGTATCAGGTAGAAAGCTGAAGTAATTTCTCTCTTCTATTTTCTGTCTTACAAAATAACTACACACAGTCAAAACACCTGACTGAGCCATTTAATTGCTTCACACTTTGGTTACCTTATTTGTGAGATGTATTTACTGTGTTTACCTCACAGAATTATTTAAAACAAAACAAAAACAGAGAAAGTGTATGTGAAAACCCTTTGTAAAATATAAGACTATATCAATGTAAAGTATTAGTATTTGTGCGTGTTTAAATGAAGTCAGAGATTTGTGTATTTAGTGTATGTCAGTATTTATGTCAGCACTGTTTGCTGTTTAAATTATAAACCAATGTTTTTATAAATCCTAGATAATTTCCTTTTAAAGCACCTATTCTACTGTACTCCAGAGAAGCAATTTGTTTGCTCTAAACTAAACATACTGGGATTCTAATTATGACTGTTGCCCTGTACTAAAAGTAACGTTTCTTTTTTCAAAGGTACGCCACCCTGTCATATGCATCAACAACCATGTATTTTGTTCAGTTTGTATCGATTTGTGGTTGAAGAATAATAGCCAGTGTCCAGCTTGCAGAGTCCCCATCACTCCTGAAAATCCGTGCAAAGAGATTATTGGTAAGGGCCTACTTTGTAAACATATAGAAACAGATTTGAAATAATCTCTAAATAGTGTATATTTGGTGAAAGATGAAAATAGACAGTTTTCACTGATGTCATTTTGCCAATATCGAAGTACTAATAGGACTTGGAACTAACAAATTTGAAGGAGAAATCAGAGATTATTCCAAGGTTACTTTCTAGGGTACCTGGGTAAAATCTGGTAGAGGAATATTTTTCCACTGTGAACTTTGATGATGAAAATAATTTGAATGTGTTTCCCCAGCTTCTGTTCACATCTCTTTCCTGCCTTTATTCATTCCTATATAAGTTGATACCTCATAAATTCTCCCAAGTAAAATAGTAGGCATCCTTGTATTTGGGTAGAATGTCCTGAAAAACAGCATCTGTAAAATGCCTTTGTGATCATGATACTAAGAAGTACAAAGAAAATAACCATAGCATAGAGAAAGAGCTCTCAGGCAGAATTCATTTTGAGTGTACTTGTATTGAGTTATGGGCATACAGTTAGTGCTGTGACTCATAATCCATTGTAACTGGGTTATTAGATTCAGTAAAAAGACACATTAATCTTTTCATTTGTGTTACCAGTATGTAGGTATGTTTGAATACATTGGTTATAATAATATATATATCATATATGATGATGATATACCCATATGATATATATAGGTAAATATTTGAAAATTGTATGAAATTTAAATTGGTATATGGATAATATATTACATAATTATTGGTTAAATATAAATATAATCATTGGTTTTATATTATTTAACATTTGATATTCAAATTTCACAGTAGTATAAATGTGATAATTGACAAAGTATAGCCTTTGCTTTCATTGAATTTACTGTAATAAGATACAGAGATAAGTAAACACACTTGATATTTTATTGAAGGCATTATTTGATATTTATCTTTTCCCAAGATCGAGATAGAGAAAACGCCTAGGTAGCAGCCCCCAAGTATGTAGAAATCAAGCTGCAGAACTATATAAAATAATAAGAAAAAAAGTTTATCTTTGTTTTCATACTACCTAAATGAGAATGAGAGTTAATTTTTTTTTCTTGTAGGAGGAACAAGTGAAAGTGAACCTATGCTAAGCCATACAGTCAGGAAGCACCTTCGGAAAACTAGACTTGAGTTACTCCACAAAGAATATGAGGTAAATAATAATTACAATTTAAAATGAGGACAGCATTGAATTCAAGGTAAAACTGAGCTATCTCAGTCTCTGGACTTCTTAGAGTAAACATCCAATGAAATTTTATTTTATCTTATTTTATTATTTCTTAATGTTTGTTTCTGAGAGAGACAGAGAGAGACAGAGCGTGACAGAGTACAAGCAGGGGAGGGGCAAAGATAGAGGAAGACGTAGAATCTGAAACAGGCTCTAGGCTCCAAGCCGTTAGCACAGAGCCCTATGTAGAGCTCAAACTCACGAACCATGAGATCATGACCTATACTGAAGTCAGACACTTAACCAACTGAGCCACCCAGGTCCCTAAAATCTTATTTTAAATGCCAATTTAAATATATCGTATTTGAGGGGCACTTGACTGGCTCAGTCAGTAGAGCATTGCGACTTTTGATCTCAGGGTTGTAAGTTCAAGCCCCATGTTGGGTGGGGAGCCTACTAAAAAAAATATCTTTTTTGATAAATATTTTTTCTTTTCCCTTTTCTATTTCAAATAGAAGACAGGAACAAATACTAGCATTTCTTTTTTCCTTTCTTTAATTTCAAATTTGTCAACAGACATCATTTTGTAAGTATTTGCTCCCTCAAGAAGTTGAGAAGCAAAGGAAACTCCCTTGTGAAAGTCAGTCTTCCAGCTCCCACAAGGCATTATAATTGCTCTGGTAAACAGTGGCTATCACCTTCATTCCATTTGGTTTGTCTATAAATTCACTGATAATTTATGCTCATTGGTTTTGGTAAAGTAAATATACCTATGTCAGCTACTAACAAAGAGATTTTGGTGTGAAATATGCCATTTTCTAATTTTTTACATGTTAACCAGTGATTTTTTTTTAATAAAAATTGTATATATTTAAGGGGCACAACATGGTGTTTTGATATACATATCCATAGTGAATGGTTGCATTGGTCAAGTTAATAAACATAGACATCTCCTCACATACTTTTTTATTTTTGTGGTGTGAGCCCCTGAAATATGCCCTGCTAGCAAATTTCCAGTATTCAGTACAGTATTAACTATAGTCATCGTGCTGTACATGGTCTCTACACTCTAGATCTCCAGACTTACTCATCCTGCGTGACAATAACATTGTACATATTGACCCACCTCCCCATTTGCCCCACCTCCCCACCCTAGGTAACCACTGCTTAACTCTCTGCTTGTATATATTCAGCATTTTTAGATAATCACATATAAGTAAGATCATGCAGTAGTTTTCTTTCTTATGAAGGGGATTTGACATGGTAATGCAAATTTTCCAAATTAGTTTCATGCTCATGGCATACGTACGTTTTTGAATAGTAACCATTAAGGCCAGTTGTTATTTTATGTTGACTAAGGACGGATATTATTAATCTCTTATTTTGACACAAAATATTTTTTAACTATTATTTTTTAATGTTTACTTACTTATCTTTAACTTTTATTTGAGAGACAGAGCACAAGCTAGGGGAGAGGTAGAGAGGGAGACACAGAGTCTGAAGCAGGCTCTAAGCTGTGAGCTGTTAGCACAGAGTCTGATGTGGGGCTTGAACCCATGAACTATGAGATCATGACCTGAGCTGAAGTAGGACGCTTAACTGACTGAGCCACCCAGGTGCCCCAGTGCATGTTTCTTTTTGAGAGAGAGAGAGAGCGAGTGAGCAAGAGAGAGCGAGCACGTGCAAGCAGGGGAGGATAGAGAGAGAGAGATGGAGAGAGACATAGAGTCTGAAGAAGGCTCCAGGCTCTGAGCTGTCAGCAAAGAGCCTGATGCGGGGCTTGAACTGACAAGCTGTGAGATCATGACCTGAGCCAACCAGGCGCCCTCTGACACCAAATATTTTAAACTGTATGCATGGAAACTGCTTCAGTTGCTTCAAAAACTTTTGAAATAAAGTGGGGCATAAATGAATAATTGTATAAATGTTCATTCATATATGTTTTCCTATTCTATTTGTTTATTCATTAATATATTAATTTCAACAAAGTGATTTTCTTATTTTATAATGCAGTTGTACTGTCTGTATTAATTCTAAAATGTATTCTTAAGTACTTAATATTTATCATACTTAGGTCCTAATCAGATTAACCTTTTAAGAGTTCACTGGCTTTATTTTCTAACAACAGAATTTCTAGCAATCTTAGTTTAAGAGGAAATATCTATTATAGATTAATAAGTGGTATCACAAAAAAGAGTTCTAGATCAAATGTTTAGTAATTGGATTTAAGATAATAAGCAGTTCCAGATGGGGAAAATTAATGCTTGACATAATCATAGTGGTAATGGAAGAACCAGAATGTAGAAAAGTTAAAGTAAAATTAAAAATTATACATATTATTCTGAAATGGAAAGTGGAAGGAAATGGTGTACAGTTATACTCCTACTTCAAATGCAGAAGCAAAAATGTAAACAACAAACAGACCTATTATGACCTTGATCAACATGGTCTTTTTTTTAATTCCCCTCACTAAAGCAATTAAAATGCCTAAGAATTTTCTTCTGAGGAATCTACTTCCTTGTTGAATTCATGTGACTTGTCATATTTTCTGGATATCTCCAATAAAATCAAAGATTTGAGTTTTTTATTTTTTTAACAACAAGCTTTAAATTAAAGCTTGTTTAAAGCTTTCGTTTAATTCGTTTCGAATTAAAACGAAAGCAGTGGCAATACCAGTTTTTTATCAGAGTCAAAATGCATTTTGAGAATTTTAGCTATATGTGACTTTCTGACTACAAAACTATTCTGATGCATAACTAATCTGTGTTTCTACAGAATTTTGAGTATAAAATTTAAAAACATATTGATCTCTGTTTAGCATACATACGTGTTCAGTATTTGTGTCTATCTGATGAATATGCACTTCTTTATCAGGATGAAATAGATTGTCTACAGAAAGAGGTAGAAGAACTTAAGAGTAAAAATCGCAGCTTGGAGTCACAAATCAAAACTATTCTGGATCCTTTAACCTTGATGCAAAGCAGCCAAACTGAAGACAAGCATCCAGTTGCAGATAATCCAAGTAAAATTGACCCAGAAACTGTAGCAGAGTGGAAGAAAAAACTTAGAACAGCAAATGAAATCTATGAAAAAGTGAAAGATGATGTGGATAAGTTAAAGGAAGTAAGTTGTGGTTTTTAAAATTCTATTATAGTTCTTAAAACTCTGTATTATAAGTACCTTCAAAAGTATAAATAGCCATATTATCTTGACTCATTAGAAGATTTGTGGGAAAAGGACAAAAATCTCTGGATGAGCATTTATAAGCAATAGGAAAAGTTTTTTCTCCTTAAATGTCATGAGCTGCCAAGAAGTATCAGGCGGTTCCATTTGTGACTATAATTGGAGTCTCTGTAGTGCTTCTGTATGAGTTTGCATCTTCTTGTAGAAGAGTGACATCGGTTTAAGGGAATTATTTCTATTTCCTCTCTTCGTGGTTTGGATTATTATTTTTTTTAAGCTTATGTCAGTGACTGGCCTGTATGCATAAAAACAAACATTACCCATTTCCCTACCTATAAAAAGAAAGGTTTGGACTATATGTTTTCTAGTACTACCATTCTCTGATTTTTGGATTGTAAGTAGTTAGACTTAATGACTAATTCCAGGGAAGCTGCAAGTAGCTGCTTTGGAATACCCCATGCAGAAGGGTATTCAAGCTTATGATGTGGGTCCATTTTTTTTTTTTTTCAGTTATTCTTCCATTCATCCAGCAAGATAAAGCATGGGTGAAAAACCTCTAGGAAAGGAGATGAGATCCATGCCATTAGTACAAGAGGTTATAATCGAGTGTTGTAGAATTTTGTTGGCCAAAGGGACCAGCCTTTGGCTTTGATGTCCAGTTTATCCACAGTGGAGTTTTGTTGTGCTGGATGGAGATGGTTTTGCGGTATCCGTGTCTGCAACCACCCATTTAACCTATCTGCATTTCCTTAAAATATTGTTACTGTGCTGAATTACTGAATCCTGCCTCCGTAAAATCATTAATGAGCTCCATATGCAATTTTTAAAAAGTACCGTCACCAACTGACCCTCAGATCCTAAGTGAAGTTAAGTAACATTGAAGTCTGCAACTTAGTATAAATACTGAACCATCTTCACATCTCCCTGTATAAAATAAATGTGGTTTGGGCTCAACAAAGGCCAAAATGAGAGAAAGAAGAGAACTTAGTGCTTTTAGAGAAAAAATAAACTACAGATATAATAGACCTGATTGTTTTAAATTTAGGGAAGTGTGTAGTTTCTTTGGATATTGAATGCCAACATTAGCCTGTTGGTTTGTGTAAGAAGAGGATATGTAAAGGGAAGATAGCTGGAAAGTTACAGTATTTATCAATCTGCTGTGTCCCTTTTAACTTCCCTTCATCTTCTTGAGCTATAATTAGGTTCTACATGGTCTCCTTTATAGTTATTTAACTTCATTTAAATTTTCATTTCAATAAATGCTTCTTTGAAGATAAGATCTGTATGAAAACATTACTCTAGGCTCATAACAGTGGTGTAGGGAGTATATATTTAAAAAAGTACATAAAACACAGTTTTTCTTTGTTCTTTTAAAGATCACATGTTAAAATCAATACCCAAAGCTACATTGAGACCCAGAATTATTTGAGTTATTTAATAAGCCCATTTTGGATGCCTAGTGGTGGTATTAGAGAGTACTAGGCAATAAACTGGGACACAAATGAATTAAAAAGTATGGAAGCAAAATTTGGATGTGAGGTACAAAATAACAACATACTGTAAGTGAAATAGAGGAGTAAAATTTGGATGTGAAGCACAAAATAATAATATACTATAAATCAAATATAGGAGTACAGAAGATTCAGTCTACTTAGAATGAGTAACATGGACTTTTTTTTGAGCTTTCCAGGACTAGGTGAGTTTTGAAACCATTATGAGGCCGGTATCATTACCCGGTCAGTGTTGCGAATGTAAAATACTTAGCCAAAGTCCTCATTACTCTTTTGGTGCAACAAATAAGCAGAACTTTGCCCTTTGTAATCTTCACTCACCTAAAGCTCCTGAACTTGAAAATACTTGATAGTTGATGAACCAGCCAGCCCATAATGAGAATATTAGCCACAAGATTGGGGGAAGACCTTGAAATGTAGCAATACAGTAAGAACGAATGAGGAAAAGAAATCAAATGAATTTCTAATTTGAGCTTATCATCATCAAAAAACATTCACTAAGTGCCTCCTTATTTATAGTGCTATGCTTGAGAGCTTAATTCTCTATGTATGAGGAAGTGAATGACTTTCCTAATATCGGGGCGGGGGGGGTGGGCAGTAATAGTGTTTATCAGTCACTTAAAGAATTAATTCTCAACAGTTCTGGTGGTTTTCAACAATGAAGAAAAGCAGCTGCTCAGAGTCCAGAAGGAACCTCAGGGAGTCTAAGTAAAAGATCTAGGCTTTGTACTCAAAAGAATGTTTTTTGCCCTTCTTATCTCATCATCCTCCTGGGGCATTTGTATGTGGATGGACAAGTATTATAGTCAGAAGTTCTAGAATTTAGTCAAAAGCATGGGTCAAATTTTTGAAATCTGGCTTAAGCCTTTTTGTTGACAGTTTTTATGACCTATTTACCTAAAATGTTTTAAATGTTAGTGTTCTAGTCAAACAAAGATTTTCTCTTGCCAAGTTAGATTACTTTCTAGGCTAGGGAGTGTTATTCTTCTTTGGAATAGAAAAATGCTATAACTGAGGAATTTAAATAGCTTTTAAGAAGACTCTAAAACTGAGGCACACTAGTTTTTTGGCTGTCTAGAATCAGTATTCAATTTCTGAATTTTCTAGCAATTAATGTTTTGTCAGACAATTTTTAGGTATCAGATAATTTAAAAAAAAGAAAATAATAGTGGGATTTTTTTAATCAAAAGAAAATCCATAGAATTTATTAGAAAATATTGACCCAATTTTGAGAGTCCCAGAAGTTGAGGGCATTTGGGAAAGCCTTTAGAAGAAAGTAAGCAAGTGGTTTAATTATATTAGATTTATCACTAAAAAGCTATTTTTAAATGGCAACCAAAAATCAATCTCATAGCTCATAATTCATGAGAATTAACTCTTAACATTAGTTTTGCAAATAATTGCATATGGTATAATGTTACCACGCTTTCAGTTATGTGAAAAGGAGAAAAAAAAACATACTTGCCATTAGTATAGTCCCTTAATGACTCTAAGCTAACTAACATAGTTCTGTTTATTTCCCTGGATAGGAGAATTGCAGAGTGCTTGGGGAATATGGATTAAAAATGCTTGGTTGTGTTCACAGATTCACAAGTCATTCCCAGTGGTGATTTTAAGTTTCTGAAAGCCATGTTCTAGTATTCAATTTTCTGGTATCACTCTAAAAAATACAGATGGTTCATGACATAATTTTTACAAGGCACATGTCTTAGCTCATGCTTAATTATTTTTAACTCTTTTTTTAAAGGCAAATAAAAAATTGAAATTGGAAAATGGTGGCCTGGTGAGGGAGAATTTACGACTGAAGGCTGAAGTTGATAACAGATCACCCCAGAAGTAAGTATTTTGCTCAGAGCAGTGTTTCAGATTATATCAGTGTTTTAGGTGCTATGATTGTGCTTTTCATTTGACTCTTTTCATTGAAACATGTAGGTTTGAATAGGAAGTCTTGCCTCTAAAAATCAACTTTATACTTACATTATTGGTGAAATCTTTGTGTCAATTAAGGCTAATTTTGGAGAAAGGATTTCATTCTTACCTGATTAGTGAGAAGATTGTTTTATGTGACGTAAGACAGGAGAACTTTCACTTGGTTTTACATATAACTGTTTAATAGTAAGTACTAACAGAGAGTAGGGGGATTAACATAATACCATTTAGAGGATCTCTGAAGTAATCCTGTTAGTAGTTAACATGTGCATAATGCTTCCTCTTTGCCAGGTACAACAACCTGTGGTATATCCTATTAGTGCTCTCCATTTACAGATGAGAAAACAGAGGCTTAGAGAGATGAAACCAGTTTATCTAAATCTGCACAGCTAGAGCTAGTAAGTGGTGGAAATAGGATTTGAACCCAGGTAGTCCAGCCCCAGAGTACGTGCTCTATTACATTACACTGAGAACCATTATATTAACCATTATACTGAAAAGCCTGTCTGAAATAGAATTTAAGGCATTATTTGTTGAATTTTAGACTAATTTTAATTATAAAATTAAGTAAATCTAGTCTTTCTTTATGATGGGATAGTACTCATTCTATTCCAAGTAAGAGAGTACAGGTATTATTTAAAATTATAAGATACAATTGAGAGTTGAGAGTTAAAGATGGAGAAAAGATGGAAGATAGCACTTGAAGTTTTTCTTCTTCAGGGGAGAAAAAAAAAAAGACAGGTAAGCAGAGAATATGGCCCTCCATCCTTCCCTGAGGGGTGGCGTATCAGAACTCCACACTTTTCTCTTATAACCACTAGACTTCATTTCTTCCTAGTGGAGAAAGACAAGGCAGACATAAGCAGTGGAAATTTATCCTACTAGAAGTTGCTCTCTGCTTATCATATGAAAAGGAGAAAACATTGCCTTTAGTCAAACCAAGTGTGGTATCAGAAAATGGTAGAAGTAAACCATGATTCCTCAAAGCAGAGATAACTAACCAATAGAGAAAGAAGCATAGCTTTTACTTTTAAATAGTTCCTTTCCCTGTGCATTCCAACCTCATTTTTCTTTCACTTCAGATAATGTTCTACTTTGACAAATTAGTGAAATAAGCTTAGGAAATGTTGCTGTTATGTGGTGGCTTGAATCTCTGCTCCTCTCATTTATTGGCACCTTGCCTTGCCAGTCATAGTAATGCTTGTCCATTAGCTGCATTTCCCACAGCATGCTGAATGGAACGAAAGCTCTTTTGTTTGTAGCTTTTATTTCTTGAAACTTTGCCTACCAGATTTCAGCTTTAATGCCAGCCACCAGGATGTGTTTTTAAATATCCATGGCTCCGACCTGATAAACAACGGAAGAATCTCACCTGACGAAACCTGGCCTCTGTCTACGCTAACAAGCAGCCACACTTCTGAATCCCATGTAACTTCAGGATTTGCTATCTCTAACATCCATTCCTTCCCTTCAGGGGAAGGGAATGGTTTCACTTAAAAAACGATTTGAACTGACCCCTATTCTGGATCAATTTGCAATGCATTGAGGTATTAAATGCATTGCATTTGATTTATAGCCTTGTTTACTCTGCATCACCAAACCCTAGTGGGATTCAGAGAGAAGCTGACCACAGCTGAAAATACCCAGATCTGGTTCACCTGAGGAGAGCTCCTATTTGTATTGAAAAAATATGAAATTTCAAGAGTTTAAAACTAAATGCAAGCAAATAAAACCATCTGTTCCATTTTGTTCCCTTGATTAGAAGTGCTTTGACCAATTATTTTCCTTTGGTCTACTTGGTTAAGTGTCAAGGTATGCTTTTTAAACACATAGCTTTAGTTTCTGATGTACCCTTCAAGTTGCACAGACATATTCTACAAATCATGCAGAAGAGAGAGATTTAAAATTTAGATGCTAGAGAGGAAAAAATTTAGGAAAGTGTATTTGTCAATTTGGGCAGTCATAGCAAAATATTATAGATGGGGTGGCTTAAACATTGAATATTTTCTCACAGTTCTGGAGGCCAGAAGCCCCAGGTCAGGGCTCAGCAGTTTTCATTTCTGGCAAGAGCTCTCTTCTTAACTTGCAGACAACCACCTTCTGTGTCTTCACTTATTTGAAAAAGAGAGTTTTGGTGTCTCTTCCTCTTCTTATAGGGACACCAAGTCTGATAAGGTGTCCTTAGTCTGATAACGACTGATAAACACATCTTATCTGCCTAAGGCCTCATCCTTATGATCTCCTTTAGCCTTAATTACCTCCTAAAGACTCTAGCCCTAATATATAATCACATTGAGGGTTAAGGCTTCAGTATGTGAATTTATTTGGCTGTGGGTAGAGAATACAGTTCAATCCATAGCAGAAGATACTTCTTTTTAAGACAAATCATGTTGTTGCCCCAAAATTAGACTGACATCTGGTATGAATAAGGGGCACTTAAACATTTACATTGTTCTCAAGTAGATAGTGCTGTATACAAGTGATGTATTTTATAATACTTTAAAGTGCTATAGCCTTTTAAAATAAAAATCTGGGTTATTGTTTATCTCCTGTGTTACTGGTTTTCTGTTCTGTCTGTTACCATCCATTATATCCAGTCTTAACATGTACCTGGGTATTTTTCCTTTCTCTGCTTTAACCTAAAAGCCTTTTTGAGCAATGTGGCAGATACTCTACTAAGCATGATCTTCTAGGTTTCAATAATACCCATTATGTTACTTGTCAAAAATTCATTGTCCTAATATCTAAACTGGTGGTCCAGAAAAATGTGATCTTTTTCTTTGACTTTATATAGCCACTTCCTAAATTTTTCTTCTCTTCCAAAATAGTTTATTCACTTGCAGAAAACCATTTGTTTGCCCTTTCAGCTTTCTTTAACATGTACTTCTAAGAGAATCAGATTGATGTTCAGAAATCTGGAGATGGTGATGTATCCTTTGGTTTACAAGGCTGATAATCTGAAGAAAACTTGCTCTCCCAGACAACCCACAAGTACTGAGTGTTTATTGACTTAACACTGTACAAGGTGCTTTATATACAAAATAAATACTTTTCCTGACCCCTAAACTAGGTTAGGTTCCCTTGTTGTAATTTCTCTTAATACTTCGTGCTTTCCATTTGTAGCACATATCAAAATTGCTAATAATGTTTTATATAACTTGTTTCATGACTTTCTTTTGTTTGAGCTAGGCTGTAGATGTGTTTACTATTGTAGCCACTGCATTTTATAGAGTTCTTACTTATATTGTGCTCCTGATACGTACTTGTTGAGTAAATGGATGAAAAACATAACTCTATGAGGAAACAGATGAATCCAGAATGTGGTACATTCAGTAGGAAAAACGGTTAGGTTTCTTCATTAAATCATTGGTAATATGGGGTGTGCCTGGGTGTCCCAGTTGGTTAAGCGTCCTACTTTGTCTTAGGTCATGATATCATGGTTTATAAGTATTAGCCCTGCATGGGGGCTCTCTGCTGTGAACATGGAGTCTTCAGATCCTCTGTCCCTCTCTCTCTGTGCCCCTTCCCCACTCACACACATGCATGTTCTCTCTCTCTCTCTCAAAAATAGACTGGAAAAAAAAAAACCATTGGCAAAATGGGAAGGGGAAGTGTGCCTTATAGTAAAAGAGAACTAAGAGACATAATGATCAGATGCAGTATATGGATATCTTGTTTGGATATTGATTAATAAAAAAAACATGTCAAAAGACAGTTTTGAGACAATTGAGTAAATTTGAGTATGAACTAGATATTCAGTAATACCAAGGGGTTGCTGTTAATTTTGTTTAGGTATTGTGGTTACTTAAGAAAATGTCCATATTTTCTTTTAGGAAAGTGGATTAGGGGTGCCTTTGGCTCAGTGGGTTAAGTGTCCTACTCTTGATCTCAGCACAGGTCTTGAACTTAGGGTCATGACTTCAAGCCTCATGTTGGGCTTCTTACTGGGCATGGAGCCTACTTAAATTAAAAAAAGAGAAGAAGAAGAAAAGTGTACTAAAATATGGACTACAGAATATTTTAATAGAATAAAAAAGGGATGTATAGATAAGGGCAGTGAGGCAAAATCTTGATAATTGTTGAACGTAGCTGATGAGTATATGGGGATTGGTTATACTATTTCTCTACTTCTGTGAATGCCTGAACACTGTTATAATATAAAAACATAAACCAATGAAACATGGTCCCTGCCTCTAAGAAGCTCATAATCTAATGAAGGCAAGAAGCAAAAATATGTGAAACAATTAAATACTAAATATACTAAACCAAATAGTAAAGATAGCAAGACGAGTTCAGAAAATGACAAGGGTGTTGCAGTGGTAAGTCTTTATCAGAGACGCAAGACTTGAGCCTAGCTTTGAAGGACAGAGAGTTCCATGAGGAGAAAGACATTCTGAGCCAGAGGAAACAGCTTGAGCTGTTAGGAATATCAAGTAGTCCCTTTAGCTCCAGTCCCTTGTCTCCAGTAGTAGCTGCAGTTATGCTCGAGAAACATGGTGGCTTCCTTCTCAGACTTTGCAGAGCAGAAGTCCTCTATGTAATTTGCACATCTCTTCATTGTGACTGTCATCACCCCACTTCAGTAGCTGGGTAGCATGACTCTACCACATCCATCACTCTCTGCTTTAAACGGAAAGGCATGTTCTCGGTCCCCTACTTAGTGGGGAACACGAAGAGTGTCACACTTCTGTGTGGTAAGAAACAACAAGAATAAGAAGCTGAAGGGGCACCTGGGTGGCTTAGTCGGTTAAGCGTCCGACTTTCGCTCAGGTCACGATCTTGCGGTTCGTGGGTTCGAGCCCCGCGTGGGGCTCTGTGCTGACTGCCAGCTCAGAGCCTGGAGCCTATTTCAGAGTCTGTGACTCCCTCTCTCTCTGACCCTCCCCTGCTCACGCTGTCTCTCTCTC